GTCTAAGGGGATTGCTTGTGAGACTTGCGGTTAGCCAGGGGGTGAGACCGAAGTCCTCTTAGTCTGGCTGGTTTGGTTTGCCTTAGAGGTGGAAAAAACCCCAGCCTTGGGCTGTAACTGCCCTATTTGAGCAATTTGTCCTGAGTTGGCACTCTCAGTTGGGTTCCGCCAGAACCGCATTGTCACACCAGGTCAGTCTGTGAGTTAATTAACTCTTTCTGGCCCTGTCATCTTTCAATGAGATGTTATATTACACTCATAACATCACACCAGGGTCCTCCCTTCCCCTTCCCCCCCACGCCAGCCCAGGCAGTGACCCCTGCGTCCTGTGCATCCCACCCCCTCCCCCCAGTGCCAGCCCAGCAGTAATTTGTGTCCCCAGGCTGCAGCGACTGCGCCAGGACCCCGAGACGGCGTTCTTCCGAGAGGCGTCCCCATGGCGCTGGAGCGAGTTCACCGCCCACCCGCGGGTGCTGAGCTGCGCCGACCGCACTGGCCTGCAGTGCCTCGACGTGCGGGTGAGGCTGCCTGGGTGCAGGGAGCGGGGGGAGGGGACTGGGGCTCACGGGGGGCAGGGGGCCTCCCTCCCTTGGTGCTCACGCGCCCTGGTCTCTTCCGCTCCAGGCTCCGGCCAGTCGCCAGTTTGATCTGTTCAAGGTGGGAGGAGAAGCCGAGTGCCAGAGAGGAGAGCGAGTGATGCTACCCATGTACCTGGGCAGGGCCCACCCCTGCCAGCACCTCGTCGCCACGCAGGTGAGTGCCCGGGCAGCTGGGCGGGCGACGCTCCAGCCCCTCAGCGCTGGGGGGAGGCGAGGCGGCCAGGCCCATCCTGCAGAGCCCGGCCTGACCTGCAGCTTGGTGCCCGTCCGCTCCCTGCGGTGCCAACTCGGTTACCAAGGGCGGCTCCAGGGGCCTGCCTGGCTGGACAGCTTGGCCGGCATGATGGTGAAAAGCTGCTGTGGGGCCGTGAGCTTGACGGGGCAGGGGCTGGGCCGTGCCGGTTACAGCTCGGGGAGTGTCTGGGGGAAGCGGGCACTGCCCCCCCCAGGTTACAGGCAGGGGAGGGGAGCAGCCCGGGGGCTCTCTGGGACGTTCTCACTGACCCCCTCCCCCCGGTGCCCTGCCCCCAGTTCTCAGTGTACGTGCTGGACGAGCGGTTCCCCCTGGTGCCGGTGCTGCGCTGGGAGCACATGTTGGAGGCTCCGCCCGTCTTTGCCCATCTCACCCCGGGCCGGTCCCAGGAGACGAGCCACAAGGTGCTGCTGGGCGCCCACCGCACGCAGGAGCTGCTGCTGCTGCAGTACTCGGGTGAGCAGGGGCGGGGGGCAGGCGCTGCACTACATGGGGGGGGGGGGCTGGGAGCTGCTCCTGCTGCAGTCCCTGGCTGGGGGGGGCTGTTTCCTGCAGGGAGGGGTCATGCTGGGGGATGGCATAGGGCAGAGTCACCAAACTGGGGTGTGCCCCCCCAGGGGGTGCGGAGGAACGGTCAGGGGGGCCCAGCAAGCCCAGGACAGCCCCCGCGTGGGGGGGGGGGGGAAGGAACACCACCCAGCCCCACCCCCAGCTGCAACCCCAGCCTTGGCCCCCTTACCCCTGTCTGCAGCCCCAGGAACCCAGCCCCATTCCTGGCTCCAGCAGGGGGGAGGGTGCGACCCTGAAAAGTTTGGGGACCTCTGGTGTAGAGGGCTCTCTGGAGCGTGTGCTCATGTCAGCATGGGGGTCCCCAGAGCCAGGGTGCCCCTCCCCCAGCCACATGGGGGTCCCCAGAGCCGGGGTGCCCCTCCCCCAGCCACATGGGGGTCTGTCAAGGAGGGGCTGAGTAACAGCCATGAATGGGGCAGTGTGGGGGTGGGGAGCTGGGCTGGGTCTGTGGGTTCAGAGCTGGGGGGTCCGAGCTGTGGGGGGGCTGGGAGGGCAGAGCTCGGGGGGGGGCAGTGCGGGTGGGATCTGGGGGAAGCAGAGCTATGGGGGGACCGGGGGGGTCTCAGCTGTTGTGGGGGCAGTGCGGGGGGATCTGGGAGGAGCAGAGCTATGGGGGGGCAGGGGGGTCTCAGATGTTGTGGGGGCAGTGCGGGGGGGATCTGGGGGGGGCAGAGCTCCCACACGGCTTTTCACGCTCCCCTCTCGCCCAGGTGGCAGCCATTCAGCCTGCCAGCTCGCAGGGCCCCCCCGGCGGCTCCATCCCATCTCCCAGGGCCTGCAGTACCTCCCCCCGCAGGTGACCCCCTGGCAGGACCTGCTGCACCAGAGACTGACCGCGCCCGCGGCTGGTAGGTGGCTGGGGGTAGGGTGGGGGTGGCCTGGTGTGGAACCCCCCATGTCCCAGCAGTCCCAGGCCCCCATCGCTGGGGTGCAGCCGAAGGGAGGGGCCATTGCTCTCACCTTCCTGTGCCTCTGACGGGGGGGCTCCGGACAGCTGGGAGGGGTGGGACGGGGAGCTTCCCCCGCTCTCTAGGGTGGGGCTGTGTGTGTGGGCCCAGTGGGGGTCTCCCCAGCTCTCTGTGTGGGGCTGCGTGGGCCTGGGAGGGTCTCCCTTAGCTCTGTGTGGGGCCTGGGGGGCTCTGTCCCCAGCTGCTGCACTCAGCCCCCTCACCTCTGTTTCCCCCCAGGCGTGACGGCCGCCCCCGCCGGGCAGGGGCCACTGGAGCCCTTGCTGGTTTTCCAGCTCTCCGAGGCCGGGGACCTGTTCTACCAAACCCTGTTGCACGAGCCGCCGGCGGAGAGCGAGTCGTCAGCCGCCCCCGCCTCGCCCCCGTCCCTGCCAGCTCCTGCTGCGGCCGGCCAGCCCTCGCCCGCGTGGGGCGCCTCCCTGGGCTCGGGCAGCGAGGAGAGCGTCCGCCTGCCAGGGACTGTCTCTGAGGGCACCGCCAATGCCGGGCAGGCAGCAGCCCCAGAGGAAGCCAGACCCAGCGTGGGCCCCGCCGCCCCCAGCCCGGCAGCCGCTGCCCGCTACCACTGCTGGCTGAAAGCTCTCATCAGGGATTGGAGCCGGCTGCCGGAGCAGAGCCAGCCCCAGGCCCTCCGCACCATCAGCCATCAGCGCCTCTTCACCCGCGGAGAGCTGAGGCAGCCGGCCGGGGACGGCCTCTACCGCCAGGCCCGCCAGCTGCTGCGCCGTGCCATGCGGGAGCGGGACTGCCTGGCGCCCTGGGCCCTGGGGCCGCCCCCCACCCCTCCGGCCATGCCCCACCCCGTGGAGCCCGGGGCCTGGCCCGACGACCTGAGCAAGCGGCTGACGGCGTCGTGGGCGGGCGGCTGGGGCGAGTGGTGGGAGGAGAAGCTGGGCGTGACCAGGGCCCACAAGCTGCACGCGCTGAGGGACCGGAGACGGCGCCTGAAGCAAGCGCGGAGCCGCCGCAGCCTGTCGGGCAGCTTCACCTCCTCCGTCACCTACCAGTCCGACCTCAGTGACTTCTCCGCCTGCAGCCAGCCCCCCGGCCAGCCCCGCGAGGAGCAGCAACCCCCGGCCCCTGTGTGCCGCCAGGACCTTTCCTCACCGAGGGCGGGACGGGGAGACCTGCCCCCAGCCCCTGGGCAGTTCTGCCCGGCCTCCCCGCTGGCCAGCAGCTCCCAGCGCAGTGCCCAGGAGGCCTGGGGCAGCCAGGACACACAGGACTCCTCCCAGCTGCTCTCGTCCCAGACCCTGAGCTCGCGGGGCATCCCCAAGGAGCGCAGGAAAACCCTGCGGGACTACCTGGCCATCTTCACCCAGCCCTGCCCCGAGCCGCCGGCCGAGCTGCCTGCGAGCCAGGCCTCCAGCCTGGGCAGCCAGCACTGGGGCCCCTCCTCCCAGAGCCAGCGCTCCACAGCGTCACAGCCCCGTCGCAAACGGCCCCGCATGGGCTTCTGAGACCCGCCGCGGGGGGCGGTGTCTGGATGGGCGGCGGTCTCCGGGGACGGTGTCCGCGCAGCCACGGCCTGGCCCCTCGGCCCTGGGGCTGTTGGCCGCTGCAGATAACTCAATAAACAGGGAAAGACAGCACCTGGGCATTGTCTGTGCCGTGGGGTTGGAGCAGGCCTGACCCCCAGCACGTGGCAGCAGGTTCAGGGGGCCTGGGGGGTGTCAGCCGCTGTGGTTTCTCGGGCACCAGGCAGGGTGGGTGGAGCGCTGGCATTGCCGCTGCTGCCATGTGCAGGGGTGGGTGGGAAGCCAAGCTGGGCCTGTGGCTTGTTCCCCTCCATGGCCCCTGCTCCGGCTGCCCCATCCAGCCGGCCCCCCACTGCAGCCGGGAGCAAGGAGAGAGAGCCAGAGCTGAGCTAGCGTGTGACTCCCCCGCTGCCTCCGCAGGGCTCGGCTGGGGCAGGGCCTGGCACCGATCCCCGGGGAGCTGGGCACAGGGGCAGTGCTGGGCGCAGAGGGCTGTCCTGCTGCTCGGGGCACGGAGAGCCCAGGCCTGTGGGTGTAGCTGGGGCAGGGGGTTGGCACACATCTTACCAAGGGGAGCGGTGAAACGCCTGTGTCCTGAGCGCTACTCCCCCTAGACCTCTAGGGTCACGGGAGCAGGGGGGGCTCCCAGCCCTTTCCACGGGGGCTGGGGAACTGACCCGGGGACCCAGGAAAACCAGCAATGAGCCTGCTTCTGAGCAATGCGCAGTATGTACTTGCCCTGCGGAACTCACTGCCACTGGATAGCCTGTCACGTACATTCACCTTGCCTCAGTGGCTGTGGGAAAGGCCCCTCGGGGCAGGATATTCCAGAGTTGCCCACCAAAGGGGTTTCCTGCACCTTTCTCTGCAGCAGGAGCAGCAGTGAGTTGTGGGCCCCGTCAGCCCGAGCTACAGGGGCTGCTGGGCTGAGGATTTTCTGTGACAGATGCTGGAGAGCGAGAGAGGGGCTCTGGCCCCCGTCCATGGGGAGGGGATGGGAGGTGGGGTTCTTCCTAGCTCCCTCCCACCCTGTGGGGCCCCCAGTGCAATGGACACATACTTGAGCTCCCCCACTCCACTCATCTCCACTGCCCCCTCTGGAGCGGGCAAGCCCTGCTGAGTGACAGCTCCCCCGGGCAGGACCTGCCCCCCTTCCTGACAACAGAGAGCCCAGGGGTCCTGGACGGAGCTTGGTGTGCTTCACGGCCATCACAGCCCCCCAAGCTGGGGGGCCCCCAGCCGCCACCCAGCGGCAAGGGAAGGCAGCAGGGCTGTGCACAGAGAGGCGGGGGGCGATGCGAGGGTTGTCAAAGCATGAGCGGTGCAGAGACCGTGACTAGGGACGGGATATTTCCCCCTTCTCCTAACAAGGCCAGGGCTCGCCCCAGCAAGGGAACAGGCAGTGGGTTCAGACACACCAGGGAGTGTTTCCTCCCCCAACGCCCGCCAGCCTGTGGAACTCCAATGTAACCGGGTTCAAAACCCCCCGAAAGTCCCTGCAGGCCAAGTGCCTCACTGGCTATTAGCCAGGATGTCCGGGATGCAGCCCCCTGCTCCGGGTGGCCCTAGGCCTCTGGCTGCCAGAACCTGGGACTGGATGACAGGGGAGGATACTCGAAATTGCCCTGGTCTGTTCCTTCCCTCTGGGGCACTCGGCCCCTGTTGGCAGACGGGATCGGGGGCATGGGGCTGGTGGAGCGCACGATCAGTGGGGTGGAAGTGAGCTGAAGGGGGGAAATCTTTCCACTTATTTTCATTCTTGGATGTTTTGGGGGGGATACGTCCTGCTAGCGCTGCACCTGTCCCCGGGCTGTCGCAATCGGCACTTGCTGGTTTCCCAGCTCTTTGCCCGCTGTTGGGGTTCCTTGGCGCCCCGAGAGGGGAGCTGTCCCTGGGGGCTGCACCGAGGAAGACGCTGCCCTGCCCACGTGCCCCCCACATGGAGAGGCTGCGGTGGGCTCAGGAAATTCTGTGATGTTCATTGCGGGGGAGTTACTGGAGTGCAGGTACCACTGGCCCCCCTCCATGTGCAGCCCAGAGGGGCTGGGTCCTACCTGGCTTCCCACAGCCCTGCAGGCCTCTCATGGGCTTCCAGACACGGCCCGGCAGCATCTGCTGTGGCCCCAGGGTGCCCCTGCCTCCTGCACACCCCGCTCTGGGCCCCACCCTGCCAGTGTGATTGCTGCCACCCTGGGACTGGCCCAGTGAGCTCCAGGGTGCCCTGCCGGAGACACCCAGCACCCAGGGCCGCACGGTGACACCGGCTCTGGGGGTGCACAACCGTGGGTGGAGACACGACGTGACCTCTGTGTGCCGGGGTGATTCACTCCCTGGGGCACACGCCCAGCAGGTCAGACCCAAAGGGCTGCGGCACACGGCACTGCCCCCCCCCCCCCGCAAGCTGCCCCCGAGACCCAGGGAGACGTGTGAACACGGCCCCGAAACCTTCGGTTTGACACGGAATGGCAACCAGCCCAAGCCTGCGCGTGTGCCCTGCACCAACGTGTGCACACACAGGAACGTGTGCGCGTGCATCTGTGCACCATGTACACACACACACACCCCAGGCACCAACATGTGCACACGTACAACACATAGGCACCAACATGTGCACGTGCATCTGTGTACACACACACACACATGTATGTCACCGCTGGCTTCATGGGAGGGACGGAACCGTCACTGGCACCAGCTGGGAAACTGAGGCACAGCCCCGGCCCCTCCCCCCACCGACCCGGGTCGGAAAGGCGGGACACGGGTCCTTTAAGGGCCGAGGAGTGGCAGAGGCAGCGGCCAATGGGGAGTGAGCCCCGCCCCGCGGGCCGGCCGGGCCAATGGGTGGCGGGGGCAGGGGCAGGCCGGGGGGCGGGCTCAGCATGGCGGCCGCGGCGCTGCGCGGGGCTCGGGGCTTGGCCCGGGGCGTGGGGGCAGGTACCGCGCGGGACCCGGACTCCT